AAAATTAAAAAAAGTTTACATGTCGAAATCCCTAACAAATAGATTATATTTGAAGAAACAATTATATGAGTTGAAGATGGATGAGCAAACTGATGTTAGGGATCATATAAATAATTTTAATAAGTGCACAACTCAATTGTTAAGTGTAGAGGTCAAAATTGATGAGGGACATAAAGCGATAATTTTGTTGGCCTCCATACCCAAATCATATGAGACTTTAGTGACTACACTGTTAGTTGGAAAGACGGTGTTGACTGTGGATGATGTGTCAACTGCTCTGTTAGAGTATGCAAATATGAAGAAGTCAAGTAGTACGTCTCATATTGAACAAGTTTTAATGGCTATGTCAGATTTAAATAGGGGTAAGAGTAAGTCACGAGAGAGATGTTATGATAAGAGAGATGATCGTTTCTAATCTTGACCAATGAAGGATATTGAGTGCTACTATCGTCATAAAAATGGGCATATAAGGAGAAACTATAAAGAACTGACAAAGTACATTGAAAAAAGAGAAAGCAAGAAACTCAAGAGACTTCAGATTCTGCAAATGTTGTTGACCACATGTATGATAGTGAAGATGATGTTTATTCTGTTATTATTGATGAAAATATTTCTGACTCTTAGATCTTGGATTTTGAATGCTCATTTCATATGTGTCCATATAAGGAGTGGTTTGATTCTTATAAGTCCTGTGATGCTGGTAATTTGTTGATGGCTAATGATTCTAATGCTAAAGTTATTGGAAAAAAAAACTGTTAAGGTGAAGATGTTTGATGGAGTTGTGAGGATATTGATAAATGTTAGGCATATTCGTCAACTAAGGAGAAGTTTGATTTCTTTAGGAGCTTTGGACACTTTGAGTTGTGAGTACTATGCGAAGGGTGGTTTTATGTAAGTTAAAGAGAGGTATTTAGTAGTCATGAAGAGTGAAAAAGTGAAAAACTTGTATAAACTCATTGAGACTACAGTTGTAGGTAGAACTATGAAGGTGGAGCCAAGCCACTAAGAATCTTCTTCTGTTGTGAAAGAAGTTGCAGGAGTAAAAGAAGGCAACAAGATAATAACAATTGAAGATGAGAAAGACAAAATTGTGAAGACTTGTAGCAGTGAAGATACTTTGAAGAAGAAGAAGAAGAAGACAGTTTCTCATGTCAAGTTTGATGAGAGTTTAAACTTGATACATGTTTATTCTTGTTGAAGTTTGCATTGTTGGTGTGGTGACGGGTTTCGAGATTGGATATCCAAATGAGTGAGTTGAGAGAATTTGAGTCAAGGTGGAGATTGTTGGGTAAGTGCCTCAAATTAGTTTTGATAAAGTTACTATTTCATATTTTTTGGTAAGTTACTATTTTTAGTTTTTAGACAAAGAATATTAGGAGTCTATAAATAATTGTTTTGTATAAGGCTTTATGTGCTAAGAAAAAAGTGTAGAGAAACAGTGTCTCCTTTTAAGATAAAAAGAGAAAAGTGAGGAAAGAGATATGCAAAGGGTGTAAGTGGTTTTAGGTAGAGAGAGAAATAGAGAAAGTTTGTTGAGTGTGTAATTCTGAAACTGTTAATGAAGTTTTTCTTCCTCTTTCGTAGACGGGTGTGTTTCTCCCCAACACTAAGGTGACGTTTAGTTTATGGGTTCAAAACCATGGTTCATGATTCTGATTTTTAAAATTTAAATTTTTTATGAGAAAAAAACATTATAGCATAATTAAGAACTATAATTTTAAATCAGGTAAAACCCTTGAAATAAACGTCACCTAAATTATCTCAGGCATTTGGAACTACCAGCAGCATATGGATACTAAGGCTTTGTTCATTTTACCGATTCGAGTTTTTAGTTTTAGGTTTCTACAGTTAAAAGCTCTCAGAAAATGTCACATCTAACTTTTTTTACTACTGTGAAAAGCTATCAGAAAATATCACATCTCAGCTCGAATTGAAAACTCGAATTCGCAAAGTGAACGAGGCCTAAAATTGCGTCCTTTTGGTCCCAATACTATTTGGACTTGCAACTTTGTTTATAAAATAAACAATTTTTTGATTTGGTAGATAATTAATTATAGTTTTCTTGTAGATATGGAGGTGCCACTAATCTCCCTTTTAATTGTTTCCAAGAGAGATACCTTTTCATTTTTCTCCTAATATGCTTTATCTTTGATACTCATGGAAGCTTAAGAAGGATTTTTATTTTATTTTATTTTATTTTAAGTCTATTCATTAAACAAAAAAGTTTATTAACTTTCCCTGTGTTCCTGAATATTCCCAATGACATTACACCAAAAAAGGGTAATTTTTTCAAGTTAGTTATAGTGCATCAGTCAATATATTTTGCTAGTTGCTGATGTTGTTCCTCTGTCTACTTACAGGTAATAAGTGGGATAAACCAGAATAACAACTGCAGATATAACATGCTTGAAATATATATATATATATATATATATATTGTCATTAATAATTGTTAATCCGAATTTGGTTTCTTAGACAAAACCACTTTTATCTTCTTGAAGCCCAAATCTGTCAGTTACTTTAAAGCATGTAAAACAGCCTGCAGATCATGCTATGGAAAATAGATAAACAGAGTCCTTATTACCCTTAGATTTTCAACGGATTCAGAGCTAAGGAATCATAGTTTGATCTCTTAACATTACTAATCAGCCAAATTTACGGTTTTCATAAATTATTTCATCAATATGTTATGCGGTTTCAATTGCTGACTTACGTTCCTTTGTTGAACATTAGAGTATATTCTGGCAGTGTAGGTTTTTTTTTTTTATAGGAAATGAAGTTTTATTACTTAATTGAAATATCAGCAAATATAAAAGAACCAATAAAATAAATTGGGAACCTATCTAAATGTAATATCAGCAAATAGTGCAGATATATTAGGATTTTGTATTTGATTATCTCAAATTTTTCATTAAAAAAACTATTTTTTCTTAAAATCCTCTTTGATTAACCAAAGAGAAATCGAAATCTTGGTTATTTATTACCTTTGATCAGATTCTCAATCTTTGTGATGGGTGCAAAAATTGCATGAATATATTGCAAGTGAGAGCGATGTCAACGAGTTCTCATTCTCTGCTGATCAAGGCTAAGCTAATTGATTGCCTGCCTATCATTAACGCAATAATCTTGGTGGAGATTAAGAACCAACAATGTTGTTAACCATAAAGTATATTATATGACCTAATCATGCACCAACTTTATCATTTCAGCTCAACATCTATTATTCCAAAGAGAAACGGGGTCCTTTTAAAATAAAAAATAAAAAATAAATAAAAAAAAAACTTAGACGATTTGATTTCAAATTGCAGCTGATCGGCTCTTCCCTTCAAAGATTGACCAAAATATTATGATATCACATGTCTTACATGTGATCATCATACTTTCACCATGATTTCCAAGTAGCTTCATTGTCATCACTCATTATGATGTCATTTCCGCGAAAGTGAAAGGTAATAGGTGATTTTAAAATTCGTTTCAAAATAATTTTATTTTTTATATGAAAATAGAAATGAAAATGTTTTCAATCTCAGGTATAAATTATTTTTAAAAATGAGTTTGGTAGTTTTATCAATAGATTGTTTTCAGTATAAAAAATCCATTAATGTCTCTGTCTCCTTCTGTGCTCGAGAGAGGAGAAAACGGAAACAAAAAATGAAAAATGACTAAAAGTCGTTTTTTATTTCTCTCTCATTTTACACTAAACCAAAAAATCATTTTCATTTCTATTTTTTTATCTTTAATTGTGCTCAACGCTGCCAACTCCAAACATGGCCAATACTTTTCTATCTCCCAACAAATAAAACAGACTTTTGGTTGCAATAAAGAAAATTGTAGGAATATTTACATTTTTATGCCCTATATTTTAAGTTTATTCAAAATTTATACTTTTGATTTTTAATTTCATCAAATGTATACTTTCAAATTTGATTTAATATACAAATCTATCCCTAATATCAGTCAATAATTGATTTTGACCTCTAAAATGACTAAACTATCCTTAAAAAAGAGAGAAAATAAAATAAAACTTTCCAACATTACAAAAAATAAAAATTAAAAACATAAAAAACCCTATTTTAATGGTATTTTAGATATTTTTAAGGTTAAAACCGAAAGTTTAAAATTTTCTTTTTCCATTTTTATTTAAGGGTACTTTAGGTATTTTATACTTAAAATCATGGATTGATTGTGAAAAAGTATTAATTTAAATATTAAATCTCATATAAAAGTATACATATGATTAGATTAAAAACGGACAGTATAATTTTTAAATAAATCTAAATACAAAGTATAAAAATGTAAATTTTCCTTTGTATCATGCATTAGTTCTCATATATAGTCCTCATATATTCTTGTCGCATGCAGATGACATTTTTAGCACGGAATATTCCACTTCCACACACACACACACACACACACATATATATATATATATATTTTTTTTTTTTGTGTGGCTGAAATAGTCATTCTTCCACTTGCACACATAAGTTGCCAAAGTATTACCATTTAAAATAAAGCTAGCTAGTGCACTATACGCGTCCAAACCACTTAAGAATAGTTTTTCTTTTTTTTTCCTCCTCCCAAAATAACTATATAAACTTTTTCCTTTAGCTTCCTTCATTGATGCCAAAAATTATACATTTTTCCTCAAAAAAACAAAAAAAAAAAAACATTTGTCCTAAAAAAAAAAAAACATTTTTCTTGCTATGATCATCTTTTCTTTTTTACCTTTGGCATATTTTCTAAGTACAAATTATCCAAATTACATATCCAAATTGATAGTGACATAAAAGCAATATTAAATGAGAAGATAGAACTTAGAAAATGCCGTTATATCTATCCTACATAGAAAATTTAACAAATAAGACGACCAAATAAAAGAAGCTTCCTGGTGTTTTCTTTAGGTAGCCAACTTGTTTCAGATGCCGTCAAACAACGACAACGAAATTTTTATTTAAAAAACAAAAATATTGAAAAAAAAAAAAAAACAATTTCGAGGCGACTTCCATCAAGGTCTAGGTCGTTATACCAATAGTAATGAAATAAGAATTCGAGAGACAATGGAATTTAACGTTTTGAAGCCGCAAAGTAATTTACTCCGCGAATTTAATTTTGTCAAAAAAACGCACTAATTTGTTTTCTGATCTTTTTGGCATGTAATGTCAATACACTAGTATAAATACAACTCCACACCGGGCTTATTCTTTCTGTGCTTAGCTTCAATTTGAGAGTCAGAAATGGAAAATGGAGGATTGAGCTCCGGCAACAAACCGACGATCATGGTGACGAACGACGACGGAATCGACGCGCCTGGCTTGCGAGCGCTAGTTCATGTTTTAGTCTCCACTGATCTTTATGTTGTGCGTGTCTGCGCACCTGACTCGTATGTTATTCCTTCTTTTATCATTATTTATATGTGCCATTTTGTATACGTCTATATGTACATATGAACATCGAAAAATCATTTTAGTAATTTGGTATATTTATAAGTTTTTAAAGTGTAGTTATAGAAATTTTTTGTTTTAATCATTTGTGTTATTTATTTATTTTTTTTGGATTGAATTATTTACAGGGAACAGTCAGCGGTCAGTCATCATAGCACTTATCGTCATCCTATTTCTGTTAAGCAAGTGGAAATTCAGGGAGCAACAGCTTTTGCAGTTTCTGGTTTGTTCAAATGCTATGTATATTTTGTTCATTGCATTTTCAATGTTTGAAGCTTTTTTTCCCCCATAAAATCTTGTTAACTTGATGCACTTTGTAGGAACTCCTGCTGATTGTGCTTCTTTAGGAGTCTCCGAAGTACTATTTCCTTCTGTTCCTGATCTGGTAGCTCTCTAGCTAGCTTATGGATATATCTATATATATATATAGATATTATATATATATATATATTATATTTGTCATGGACTTCTGAATATTTACAATAAAAAAAAAGGTTTTTTTATTTTTTTATTTTTTTATAAATAAAAAAGGGTTGAATCTTCAAAGTAAGAAAAAAAAAGTGGCTCTTCGTGTTCGTAAATCGTACATATGACTATTTTTTTTTCTAATGTTGTACATATGACTATACATACGCAGGTGATCAGTGGCATAAACCAGGGTAACAACTGCGGATATAACATGTTCGTAAATCGTAATCTTTTACCTTTACATTGTCGTTTCTTTCTTTTTGACTAATTTTACATTGTCGATTCAGAAATGGTCAACCATTAATACAGCCAGCAGATTTATCAATATTCATATTCATCTTTACATTATTAGTCAACTGATTCAAACCAAAAGGATCTTGTTATAACACACAGAGACATATATATATATATATATATTTTAAATTTTTGTTTTGTTTTTATAGTCACTGATTTGGGTTCCATTGTTGAACTGTAGTATATATTCAGGCACTGTAGCCGGTGCTCGCGAGGCGTTTCTTGATGGCGTACCTTCTATCTCTGTATCTTATGATTGGTTAGTACAACTATATTTATATATGTATATGTATAATGTTCTCTGTTTTTTTTTGTGTAGGTATATCTATAATATACTTGATTTATTAGGAGCAAATAAAAATAATTAATTTACTCTTAAAAAATAGGAATTTTAGCACCTGTCTTCATTCTTGAAAACTTTTTCTAGTGGATTTAGTCATTGAATTTATAAAATAGTAAGAATTAACCGCAATTGACAATTGTTAACGATTTATAATTTTGAGAAGAATAACTATAGATTAAGGATTTTTTTCATGGATTTGTCTTACTTTTATACATGAAAATTTATTTGTTTTAAATTAATTCTTAAATTGTTTAACTCATGTTAAGGATTAGAGTTAGTAGCTATATCTGAAATGGGGAATTCAGAAATTTTCTCATCTAAAAATTCAAGAACTAACATGCTCAAAATAACTATATTGGTCAATCACTAATCTACTCTTAATCTATGTTTCGTAGAGTGAAAAAGGGAGTAGAAAGAAATTAGTGAAGATATTTTCGAGAGGAAAAAATAAACTTACGTTGTTTGGTAAAGAAGAAAATAGGAAAGAACGAAGTTGTAAATTCATGAGTCCCACTACCAATTCTTTCAACTTTAGGAAAAAAAAAGAGACGGGAAATAAAATTGATAAAATTGTTGAACTTACTTTTAAAATGCATAAGTCTGAATTTTTATCTATATTCTTAATTAATACCCTCTTGACTAAAATAATTATTTGACTAAAAAGAATATTAATCAATACTAAATAATAAAAATTCAAACTCGCACACTCTAAGGATTATTTGTTTCCTTTTCTGAAAAAAATTTGACAAACAAATATGATATAAAATAACTATTTAGGCCCTCATCACCCATCATCTTTTTTAAAAAAATTTTATTTGTATAAGATATTTAGACATTTCCTTTTATTTTTCTTTCTCTTCTACTAGAAAGAAAATCTTCCTTTTACTATTTTATTTACTTCACTTTGATATTTCAGTCCTCCTTTTTTCCCTATTTACCATATCTCCTACCAAACATAGCAAAATAATGAGGATGGCAAAGGCACGAGGAATCACATAAATCATCATTCCATCATCCTGCCTAATAATAGTCATTAGGACCCTTTTTAATGTAAATGCTAATGCTAAATATATATTTAGCATGAAAAAGTATAATATTATATATTATTTTTATTTTTGTTCTAATGCATAAAGTCATTTGAAATTTTAAATCTATTTTTTTATAATCATTAAACTTTGAAAGTTGTGAAAGTAAACTTTTATTTTTAAAATAATTAATAAATGAAAAAGTTGTAATGAGTTTGAGTTTTAGCTTGAGTTTGAACTTGAGTTTATGGCTAAAATCTGAGTTCAAACCCCCCTCTCCCAGACACACACACACCATGGATACTCCTACCCAGAAATCTACCCAGTCCTTAGAACCAGCCAAGTTATCCTCGTCAGTTACTATTCCTAGTTCCTGTAAAAGATCCATCTCCTCTAAGATAGAAAATCTAGTAAAATACTCCTATATTCCTTAAACCGCCATAGTAGAAGAGTCTGTCCCTCATTTGTTAAGTCCGTATAATGTCTTCAAGAGATATCGACGCACTATTCGACTCTGATTGAGATAATTTTTTTTCTATGCGTTCACAAGGAAGAGAAAATCTATATATCCTATTAAAATTTTTCATCGTCATTGAGTTTTTAAAAGAATACTATTCAAATACAAATAGTTATGTTTTGACCCACCCAAATACAAACTCAAATAGATTCTCAACTCAAATCATAACTTAAATGTGCATATCCAAACACAAACTCAAATTAGATTTCTAACTTAAACCATAACTCAATTATGTCTTAACTCAAGTCACTCAACCAAAGTCATATAAAAGAACACACTCTAAATATTTCAACTAATATCAATCAAATACTAAATTTTTCATATGCTATACTTAGTGAGAACTTTGCTACAAAGTATGTGAGAAATTTATTACAATAAATAGCATTGCAATATAGAGTATTTTTATACTCAAATGCTAAATTTGTACTTGTCGCATCAATTATATCATTGCATTGAAGATGTTATTAAAAAATAAAAAAAATACATTTAAAAAAAAAAACGACACTCATTCCAATTTATGTTGTTATTATCTCCAAAACGACACTCAATCTCTATGATGGCCCGTGGGCATGGGAATGCAGGAAACCGGATAAGAGCCACGTTAATGACTTCACTCTCTCTGCTGAGGCTTGCTTGCCCATCATTAATGCAATACTGATGGATATCAAGAATCGAACTTATCCACGTGGATGTTTCTTGAATATAGATTTTCCAGTAAATGTTGGTAATCATAAGGTATGTATGGGACAATATTCACGCTATAAAATAATCTCCAAAATACTTTATAAAATTAATATATCCATCTCAAATTTTGACATTCAAATAGGAAAACCACTCTCTAATAATGCAATGTAATTCTTAATGTTTAATGTGAATTAAAGTCAAATTTAACTCTAAATATAATATATGTCAAATTTTAACATTTGAGTGCTATTGGTTGGTGTCTTTACTTTTTTTATTTTTTTTTTAACTTTCATTGTTTTTAGAAATTAAAAGTAGATATAATATTGAAATAGCACCAAAATACAGCAACTTATCCAATATGTCATTTTCACATTTTTTTTTTATTTATTCCAAACATAACATCGGTATTGTCGTTTGCATCAGAGATTGTCTAATTTTCAGCATTAATATGTATTATCATTTTTATTGAGTACTTTATTTATAGTTTTGAGAACACTTTTTAATTAATTTTATTTTTTGGTGATTTACTCTTCCTTAAAAGGGATATAAGCTGACTAAGCAGGGAAAAACTAGGTCAAGACTGGGATGGAGGCAAGTTACATCTGCAAAATTGTTAGCAACACAATCCGAAGATAATCATGCACCAACCATTTCAAAAGAACATCTACTGTTCCAAAAAGAAGTTGGTCTTTTTCTTTTTTCCTTTTATTTTATTTTTTCTAGCTACCCTTTTCCCGTTTTGATGTTTTGGGATAATAAATTTCATGTTACACATGAAAAGATACCTTAACGGTAAGACACAATTTAAAACTATTAAATCACATCAGAATTATATAAGAGTACAACATAATTTGATGAAGCTTACAACTAATTTGAACTGTATTCCACCAATAAGGTATTTTTTTTCATACCCAGATACAGAATTCTACCGTACATTTGCTGAATTTTATTGAAAGAAACTCCATTTTGACCATTTTGTAGCTTACTGGCACTCTGATGGCGGACAATGATGATGATACAGATAAAAAGTCTCTAAAAGAAGGATATGTGGGTATTTTACCTTTGCATTAAGTTAATAGGAACATATTTAGTCTTATGATTAACATGCTTTTTTTTTTTTGTGGCCAAATTTGTACGTACAGATTACTATCACTCCTCTAGGTGCCCTCACTCGTGGCGATGCAAATTACAACGCTTACTTCAAAGATTGGCTCCCAAAATGGAGTTGAGGACCGCGTTCAGAAACCTATTTTCGTGTCGTTTATTTCATATATTCAAACCAGAAAGTTTGAATTGAAATTTTAGGACTTGTTCTTTTGGAGTTTAACTTAAGTATAATTCTTGAGTTGAATTTGAGTTATAACTTAAGTTGAACTTGTAACTTGAGTTTGTGTTTGGTTGTGTACATTTGAGTTATGGTTTGAGATAAAAATCTTTTTGAGTTTGTGTTTGAGTAAGTCAAAACTTGAATTTATATTTAGATAGTATTTTAATAAAAATTCAATGCTGATGAAAAATTTTAATAGGGTATATGGGTCGGGTTTTATTCGTCTTTTCGTTGTCAACGCATAGAAAAAAAAATCATCTCAATCAGAATTAAAACGAAAAAGTTATAGCATTTTTAAGAATAGAAAAAATACTGTTCATTAATTTGAGTTCGAGTTTCTGAACTCGAGTTGAAGGGAAAACTTGAACTCGAGTTTTAGTCCTAAACTCGAGTTTAAACTCGAGTTTAAACTTAAAAGAATATGAACTCGAATAAAGTTGTAACTCGAGTTGTCTTTTTTTGAGTTTTTCACTCAAAAGAATAAGCCCTAAATTTCTACAGGAAAAAACAAACAAACTGTGATTTAAACCCACAAAATAAATATGACCAATTATTGTTTGACCGAACAGTGATTGCCCTTTGTGACGTTTAGGTGAAAATAAATGTACCATATGAAGGTGTTAAATTATACATGGTTCCACATGCTTGTCCTTTGTAGTGCATAATGATCACGATTTCGAAGATGGAATATTCCATGACCTGTTTGTTTCCGTTTTCATTTTTTTTTTTCATATTTTTCGAGACTAAAAAATGAAAACGGAAACATAAAATGCGTTTGGTGTAAAAATTTTTAAAAAACAAAAACAAAAATATTTTTGTCTTTTCTGAAAAACTGAAAACGAAAAAAAGGTGTTTTCATTTTCACGTTTTCATTTTCTGAAAATGAATTTCATTTTTTTTTCTTCTCTCTCTTCTCCAGCCGAAGAAGACGTTGGGACATCCGGAGAAAGCCCACCGTCTATGCTCCTCTCCGACTGGCCCGCCACCGTCTTCTCCGACTGCCCCCCGCCCCCCATTCTTCTTCCCATTTCCTCTCCTCTGCAGTTTTCATTCCTCTGCATGTAATATATTATTATTTAATATATTTAATAATAATAATAATTTAATATATTTAATATTATTATTTATTCAATATATTATTAATTTAAATATTATTACATGTTTTTAAAAATTAAACCACCAAACGCAGTTTCAATTTTTTTTAAAACCAAAATCAATCTCTGAATAAAACTACCAAACGCATTTCAGAAATAATTCTAAAATGAAAATGAAAACGTTTTCATTTCTATGTTCATACAAAAAATAAAATCATTTTGGAACCAATTCTAAACGCACCTGATATATTGTTATTGGCGATATCTATCATTAAGATATGATTGTTTTAATATTCTTTGTAATCTGACGACAAACAAATTAACAATGATCTGATAATACGAGAATCATGTTATTTAAAAAAATTTAACCTCTTACTAGAGCCAGAATCCAAAAGATCATCATGGCTAATGACATAAAAATCTCTTATAAAAGAAGTGTCAGAAAAAAAAAGGAAAAAAAATACTTTAAAAAGCAAAACAAAACAAAAAAAGTTTTTTCGTCCCAACTTAATCCTTTACAGTTTACAAATTTTGAGCACCACGTGATATGTCATTATATTCTTTATTGCTGAAAATATGTCATTATATTTATGAAAGAAATAGATTGCTAAAATTGGTATAAATAAGGAGTAAAACTGGGGATCAGAAACAACCAAAACTCTCCTAAGATAACAATAAGCATTTCTGCATCCAAGAATATATATATATATTGCTCTACTTCTTTTGTGTTTAGGCCTCAGAGCTTCTAAGTCATCTCAAGCATTTGGTGCTACCAAGTACTAGCTAATGATTCTACCCAAAAAAAAAAAAAAAAAAAAAAATCAATTTAGTATCATACCTTAAATTTTTAATATTAATATTAAATATGTACCTTCGAGTTTTAGAAAACATCTTGTGTGTAGCCTAAGACCTTTTTTTTTTTTTTTTTTTTTTGGAAATAAACTGTTTTTTTTTTCTACCCATCCATTTAATTAATCAGAGAATAGTTTAAAAAATTCTGAAAATATTTTAAAACATTTAAAAATTAAAAAACTCAAAATTTTATTTTTTAAAATATGAATTTTAAAAAATGTTTTAGATATTTAGAATTTTTAGTTTCTAACTAATTAATTGAAAGAGTAAGAGGGACATTTTATGTCTCAAAAAAAAGTCTTTGGGTACCGAAAACATATTTTTAAAACTCGAAGTACCTTTTTATCACCTTCGAGACGTTTTGACAGTGTAAAATGATTTTATCACCAAAAAAAAAAAAAAAAAAAAAAAAACAAACTTGCTTATGATTATTAAATTTTTTTTTTCAACTTCAATATAGTAAAAACTGGTCCCCTGCACTCGGTGGTAGAACCACTTTTTTAGTAACTGCGGCATATGCTCTTACTCAAACTTTAAAATTTATTTTTTATTTCTAATTTTTCCTTAAATTTCAATCGTGTCCTCATTTTATACCAAAAAATCGAATTGTATACCTCAATAATTGAAATGTGTAAACTTATCTCTAACATGCCATTTTCTGTAGGGACTGATTCGTCCTACAAAAAGTAAGATAAAATAAAACAAAATGAGAGGGTGATGGAAATTTCCAAGTTGTTTCTTTCGTAGTTCAGTTTAGTTTTCAGAAGCGACCCGACATTTAAAGTGAAGTCAACAAACAAGTTCAACGTAACTTCCATGTTGTAACAAGATTATTTCAATAAGACTAGTCATCGAAAAGTAAAGGGGAAAGAGTTTTCCTTTTCGTACCAAATATTATTTAAAAAGAAGACTTTGAAAAATGGAAGTTCCACATTCTATATATATATAACTCTATATATGCGTGTTTGCATACACATATATATTGCTCAACACCTTTTGGCTCTTCATACCTTAAAGAAAAAAAAATTTCTTCTCATCTTTAATTTTAATTTCAGTTCAGAAATGGAAAATGGTAGTTTGAGCTCCACGAATAAACCGGCGATTATGGTGACCAACGACGACGGGATCAACGCGCCGGGTTTGCGAGCTCTAGTTCATGCTCTTGTCTCCACTGATCTCTATGTTGTTCAAGTTTGCGCCCCCGACTCGTATGTTAAAATCTTTTATTATTAGTAAATTGGTATATTCGTGGTCATGAATAAGTATTAAGGGACGTTTGTTTTTTATATTCGTTCTTGATTCTGAATCATAATTTTTGATTTTTTACGGTGTTTTCTCTCACAAAAAATACACGTAAAACGAGAATGATCTGAATCATAATTCTGAATACATAAACCAAACATCCTCATAGTAAATTGTTTGTTGTTGAATCATTTACAGAAATAAGTCTGCTGTTAGTCACTCTATTACTTATCGTCATCCTCTTGTGGTCAAGCAAGTGGAAATCCAAGGAGCAACAGCGTTTGCAGTTTCCGGTACACTCTGTTCAAATCCTTTGTTCAATTTGAAAAAAAAAAAAAAAAAATCGAAACTAACTTAACGGTCAGAGGATCCGTCAATGATAGGACCGGCTACCGGTAATACACATTGTTTATCTACTTCATTTTTTCAAGTCTTACCGTAGAAATCTCCATGAATATATTTCTTCACGAGTTCGCAATTTCTTAAGTTTCATGCAATTTTCTTTTTAAATTTTTTTTTTAATATGTCATGTTTGTACTAAATTTGCAGGAACCCCGGCTGATTGTGCTTCTTTAGGAGTTTCCAAAGCTCTATTCCCTTCAATTCCAGATTTGGTAGAAATCTGGCTTTCAATTGTTGTTATTGATTCATCTCATTTTTCTCCTAATATGCTTCATCTTGACATTGATGGAAGCTTTTGATGCCGGATTTGATTCTACTTTCTAGTGCATCAGTTTATCAAGTTTAGAATTTGAGTTTTACTATAGTAAAAAACTTTCAGAAACAGTTATATTTAACTTTTTTGCTACAATAAAAAGTTATCTCATAAAGTCACATCTCAACTCGAATCACCGAATTAAACGGACCCTAACTAAATTCGTACTTATGTCTGTGTGCACAGGTAGTCAGTGGCATAAACGAGGGCAGTAACCTCGGATGTAACATGTAAGTAGTAATATCTTATCATTGCATTATTATTTAGGAGAATTCTTTTTGTATTTTCTCTCCTATAGTTGCTTTAAAGAAAACAACATAAGGATTTAGTAGGAAACATTAGTTTCTCAAACAAACTATTAACCAATCAAAATCTTTATTACATCTCATAACAGATTTAATTAGTCATTTCCACGCTCTCAAATATCAATTTCAACTATTTCTTATTATTATTATTATTATTATCTTCATAGTTAAGTTTTCTTAACTGGTTTGTGGTTTTCATAAGTTGCTGACTGGCTTTTGTAAGTTACTGATTGAATCGTAGCGTATATTCTGGCACGGTAGCTGGTGCTCGGGAGGCATTTCTTGATGGTATACCTTCTGTATCCCTGTCTCACGATTGGTAAGTATAGATATTTCAAACTAATTTCATATATTTGCTAAACTCGAAAAATGCTCTAGACAAATTAACATTCTTGTGTTTCATGTATTATCTTAATCCACATGAAGTTTTCAATAAATACACTGGTGGTCTTGCAATTGCAGGATTCCGGGTAAGAGCCATGTCGATGACTTCACACACTCTGCTAAGGCTTGCTTGCCTATCCTAAGCGCAATATTGACGGATATCAAGAATCAAACTTATAAGCATGAATGTTTTCTTAATGTAGCTTTTCCAACTGATATTGCAATCTGTAAGGTACATATATATATATATATATATATAAACCAATAATAAGAATATATAGTTAGGAGATGAATGTATATTAAATTCTACACGTTTTATTTGATTTAGAAGTGCATTTAATAATTAATTTTTTTCCATCTTATTAGGGGTACAAGTTGACTAAGCAAGGAAAAACTAAAGCAAGACTAGGATGGAGGCAAGTTACTTCAGAGATAGAACGAGCAAATCTGCTATCATCGTCTCCGGAAGAAAATTATATACCAACAAAACATCTAGTATTCCGTAAAGAAGTAGATCTTTTCCTTCTCATTTGGTTTTTACTCAATTAAAAGATGAAAATCTATCATTCTATGAAGAAAATTTTCATGTCTATTACGGTTTTCCTTTTTTTTTTTTTTTTTTTTTTTTTTTTTTATATATAGTATTTATTCATCACAAGTGATGAATATCGCTGCTCATTTACTAATGTGGTACACAAGGTTGTAGTTCTGCCTTTTGTCTTCTGGTGATGAACATTATTATCAGTCACCTCATTACTTGTTATCATCATTACTACTGAAAAGCATTATTCCTTTACATTTAACTCTGGTTTCATTCTTTTACAGATGAAGAGTCTTCAAGCTGATGATGATGAGGATGATGACACAGACAAGAAGGCTTTAAGAGAAGGATACGTGGGCACCAATATCTCTTTTCCACTTTTTGGGCTGGGAAAATGGCTTATAAGGCTTTATGATTAACAATGATATAATTTTTTTTTTCTTTTCACTTTATTTTCAGATTACTTTGACTCCTCTTGGTGCACTCTCTCGAGCTGATGGAGGTTGCCATGCATACTTCAAGAATTGGCTCCCAAATTGCAGCTGACCACACTTCTCTTATCGTCATAAGTCATGTAGGAGAAAAAACTGTCTGAGAAATAGCAGCATTATTCTTTACGTCGCTCTTTGCATTCATTGTTTACAATTCTCTGATAGTGGAGTTCATGTGTTTCGTTGTTTACAATTCTCTAATAGTAGAGTTCATGTGTCAAACAGCGAATACAGAGAGTGACAGAAAGAGTGACGCTAGCATTTTTCAAAACTGTTTTCTCTTAGTGGCATGTCCTCCTTGTGCTAGGTCAATTATCTTTTGTGATGGTTTCCACCTTGGCCAATATTTGGTTCCGCGGAACATTTCTCTGTAGTTTCGATGTTATTTCATGTCCATTAGGTGAGAATAAAATAAAATGTGCTTTTGTTACAAAGAATATCAATATGACATGAGGATTCCCCATTATCCACATTCTTGTCCTACGCAACGTATAGTGATGACAATTTGAGCATAAAATAATTCCATTGCAACAAATGAGTTGATAATGTATTCCCATTTAAAATGTCAATAATATTAATGACTTGTGATTGGTGACGTCTATTGTTATTTGTTAATTACCTTTTCGGCGGTATTAGGTTGAACACGACAATAATTTAACAGAAAAATGTAGAGAAACTCTTTATCTTATTATATATTTATTTTCTTTACCTTCTACATTAGATTGTATCATTTGGAGATTTCAATATTAATCATTATAAAATAACTCTTGTGCAGATACCCCCTAGAACCACGTAATTGAACACAAAATTAAAAATTCCGTACCTTGTTTTTGTGGTAGAACATTTTTTGTAGGGTAGTAGGAGAACAAATTTTAACCTCTCTAAAGAATAATTTGGTATAGTTTTATTATAAAAATATTGCATTTATAACAAGTAATTCTGAAGCGTTAAAATCCCATCCAATCCAACAGTCACACTATCGGCAATACATGCTTTAATAAATCTCAAGTCATCCAACAGTCATTATAATATAAGCAAACACAACAAAATTTAATTCAGAACTAATAGTTGAAAATCCTAAGAAAAAATAAAAGAGTAAACTTACATCCAACCAAAATGTCATTTCATATAGAAAAGTAACAAATACATAAATAATTAAATATTGTTCAGAGTTCTTTAGGAAAAGAGTAATTGGCATAATTACTTCCTAAACTGGTTAGTAGGTGAAAACTTTAATCTTTTTTTTTTTTGAAAAAAAGAATTTAATTATATAATGTCTAAGAGTTTGTTTAAAAAGTATACTCAAACAATAATTGTTAATTCTAACGTTTAAAATTTAAATTTTTTTTATAAAAAAAATACTATAACATAATTAATAATTTAAGTTTAAATATATAAATAAAACAAACCAACCCTAAATTATTTAAACGTTATCAATTAAAACTTTTCTATCCATTTCTATTAATTTCTCGTGGAAAACGTAGCCCGTGATATGGCCCTCTTTTATTACAAAACCAAAATATCCTTATTATTCGGAACATACCCAAAAAGGAAAGAGAGATACAATAGAGTTATTGCAAGCCAGATAGGCTGCCGCTGTCGCGAGCCGTGCCCCTCCAATCCGCGAGTCGTATCCCGTTTGATTCATAAATTTAAATTAGTAGTTGTAATTTTACATTTAAATTTTATGAGAAAATTTATTGATAAAAACTTTTTAAATTTAAATTTTTTATTTGAGAAAAAACTATAACATAATTGAAACTATGAGCGGAACTCATGAACTAAATAAGACTTTTAATTTTTAATATTTAAACAATTTAAAGGTCGTTTTATAAAAATTAAAAGAATGGAGACTAAAATAAAGCACGTAAGTTTAGGGTTAATGGTGTCAATTACTCTTACAAAAACCATAAAAAATAATAATAATAATTGAGTCAGCTTTTGGATGGAAGTGCGACTAGATTCTCTCCACGGGCATAAATTCCTTCTTGATTTTTCCTAATAAAATTTTCAGGAAAAGAAAATTCACAATAAACCCGTATAAATACGCCAGCGCCAGCGCACACAAACCCATTTCCTTGGTCCTTAACCTCAAGACACAAACAGCTTTGGAGAGTACCTGTACATCAAAATATTCTCACAAATCAGTCTCTCCAATCTCTCTCTCTCTCTCTCTCTCTCTCTCGGATATGGAAATCGATGGAATCGGCTCCGGCAACAGGCCGGCGATCATGGTGACGAACGACGACGGAATCGACGCCCCGGGGCTCCGAGCCCTGGTTCAGGTCCTCGTCTCCGCCGGTCGCTACATTGTCCAAGTTTGTGCCCCGGACTCGTATGTACTTTCATTTCATGTTTCATCAGATTCTAAGTCTGATAGTGTTCTTGAAAATTGATGTCTGTTGCGTGATTTTTGTACTTGTGGAAGAACATTTCTTTCGTTGTTTCTTTCTGTGTGTTATGATTGATGCTTGTGAAGTTAAAAGAACAATTTTTCTTTTTTTTTTGGCTGAAAAAACCGAAATTACGAGCTTTTTTTTATGAGAAAATGAATTGAATGATTTACAGGGAAAAGTCAGCAGTTAGTCATAGCATCACTTGGAGAAATCCTCTTGCTGTTAAGCAAGCAGATATTCCAGGAGCCACAGCATTTGCAGTTTCTGGTTTTTCTTTCTTAATCCTCTTTTCTTTTTTTAATTCATTATCTGAATTATGTTGTTGTTTTTTAAGTTGTGATGACTCAAATGATATGTTGGAATTTTCACCAGAAATCTCGGACTTTCTTAGCAACTAAACAACCAGGACATAACAGAAACTCAACCCTCTCAAGAATTAATAACCAGAAATTAATCAACACAACCAGAAAAACAAGCAACCTCAGAATAGAAAGCTTTATTAGAGAGAACATTAGAATTGCACCTCAGACAATCCTTAGGCCTCTTTATAGAAACCCTGTGGCTATTTCAATTACAACAGAATTATCAAGAACGTAATTCTATTGGCTAAGAGTCTAACTAGCCTAATAATCTGAGTAATTCTCTACAGCACAGAACACCAAAACTGTCTACTCCCAGCCCCATTCTGCCACGTCACCTTTCTATTCCTAATTCCCTGATTAAATCCAAGCCAACAGTACAACATGATATTTTCATTTAAAAGGGTATTATTGAAAATTTGAAATTTTTTTCATCTACTTCGCAGGAACTCCGGCGGATTGTGCATCTCTTGGGATTTCCAAAGCATTGTTTTCTTCGGTTCCTGATCTGGTATCCTTCTTGTTGTTTGAGAAATTTTGATATTTACAGTTACTTTTAAACAACAAAGGTCTCTTTTTTCTTATTGGTATGCAAAGTTAATTCTGTTTTTGTACTCACTAGTGATATATACTTGTATTCACACACAGGTAATCAGTGGCATAAACATGGGTAGCAACTGCGGATATCATATGTGCGTAACATTTGATCTTCTAAGCACTTTCCATAGTATTCTTGCTTTTAAAATATCTTTTTCAAAGCAAAGATTGAGTTAAGGCGACCGATCAGATTCGCTTAGTGTAATGGCTGTCAGGAATTTTCTATTTGAATTGATATCATTTACTGGAAATCTTATGCAGTATTACAATTTGGCTTCTTCAAAATGATCAGTTTTGTCATTTAAATTCACAATTCTGTCTAAAAAGGGTGCTAATGAAATACTAAGGAGAAAAAGAGTAGACAAATTAATTGTCATAGATTTCAAACAAATGCACTTGGGGACTATTTCTCTTTATTCTTTCACAAACTTTGAGGCTAGGTTATTTTCTTATATAAAAAGCACCTGATATTGATTTTCAGGCATTCTAATAGTTTAAGTAGCTGTTCTTTTAGTATGTTAATATAGTTAGCTGGTTTGAACTTTGTTATTGTCAAATGATAACTGGCTCCTTTGTTAAACTGTAGTGTTTACTCTGGCACAGTTGGCGGAGCTCGGGAGGCTTATTTTAATGGCATACCTTCTATCTCCGTATCCTATGAGTGGTATGTGTGAATATTTGATGTCAATATTGCTGCTCCGGAAAAGTTCTTCTTTGTAGTCATATACTGCAGTTTTTCAATTGTACACCATGTAGTTGGATTCACATGTTTTGTCACAAGTGAATTGTTACTCAATTTCTTCTGACTAGCAAAGAGGGTAAAAGGATTTTGTATATCTTGAACTTGCAGGGTTGCGGGTAAGAGCCAAATTAATGACTTCACACTCTCTGCTGAAGCTTTCTTACCAATCATTGATGCAATACTAGCAGAGGTCAAGAACCAAACTTATCCGCAGAGATGTTTTTTGAATATTGATCTGCCCACTGATGTTGCTAACCATAAGGTAAATATCATTATGTTATGATATTGTCAGAAACAATATGATCCTTAAAACTCTGATCTTCCTAATTGGTTAATTCATGTACATATTTCGCGTTCTAGCAAGACATTGCAAACATCGCTGCCATATCATTGATCATTCTAGTTTGCACCCATTTTGGGATTTGCTTTTGATGTTGATTTTTGTGGTCTGTTGTGCCTTGAAAGGGATATAAGCTGACAAAGCAGGGTAAGAGTATATTCAAAATGGGATGGAATGAAGTTACTTCTGATGCACATGGTGGCAAAATGTTGTCAACAATGACGATGGGAACGGATTCAGCCGGATCTGCTGAAACTGATTCACAAGCTGTTTCAGCAGACTATCAATTGTTCCAGAGAGAAGTGGGTCCTTTTTTTATTTTACTTTCTGCAACTTTGATGTATTTTTTTCCTTGTATTTTTTGGCTTGCCGTGCTCTCATTGTATTTTATTATTGCTTTCGTTCTTTCTTTCTTTCTTTTGAACAAAAAAACCATGTTTCAAGTTCCGATAGTTGTGTGGTTTAGCATCTTTTCTAACTCTTGCTGTTTTATACTTGCCAATCTGGCTTATATCGAAATTTATGGCTGTCACCAATTTGCTGTTCTGGAGTTACAGAGAGCTTGACTTATTTTCAACTGACTCTTTACTGTTTTATCATTATGATTTAGTATTTATCGAGACTGAAAAGAAATACTTGTTTGTGGATGACTTGAAACGAAAGAATTTGAAGCCTGGTTTTCTCTTATCCTTTAGTCAATACTTTGTTCCATTTTTTTCTAAAAAAATTTGAAAGGATATTCTACTTCCTCTTCTGTAGGTTAGGGCGGCCGAAGCAGATCATGAAGATGGTACTGATCACCGTGCTTTGCGAGAGGGATATGTGGGTGTATTTGCATTGCTTTTATCTTATATAATTCTTGAACTTAGTAGAGTAGTTTATGATAAACATTGTCTTTACTATACCATTTTACAGATTACTGTCACTCCCCTTGGTGCCATCTCTCGCGCTGAGATAGATTGCCATGCCTTCTTCGAAAATTGGCTGCCAAGAGCAGCAGAACGCTTCTCCTCATCAGCCTTATGAGGCCATAAGGTCCATCTTTCGAATAAATTCTATCATCTTTATCAGGTACTTGTTTGCTAAACATATTCTCCATCAACAGTCATACAAGTTCATCATTTATTCAATCACTAACATGATTTTTTACCTTTGAAATGAAAATTTATTGAAAGCAAGTATTGTTTATGGAGGATTATTTGCAACTGGCTCAAGGGGCTATTTTAGGAAAATCAATTGCTTCCCTTGCATGGTTTTCATGTGATTCTACTCGCCGCTACTACGAACATCGTAAAGCACCATATGGACCATGTTTCATGATTCAATGTAAAAGCTATTTTCTGTAAGCTGCTGCTATACATTCATCTATCAATGAATTTGAGAGTGACACATATTATAATGAGTTGCATCCGCTTGAACTTGTCCGAACTCTCTAGGATTTTTGTTGCTTCTGAGAAATCAAGTAGTGCATGACAAAGATTCACTCTAGTGTTGTATCTGATGACGTACAACATAACATGGACGTGCAATTATTAGGATGTTGGAGATACACACACACACAGACACAAAGATTTGTATAGATTTTATTTAGGTATAAAAAGATTTGTATAGATTTTTCTCCATTTCTTTAAGCGCTCAACATAAATAGGCGAAAACTACACGTTATGCAGGCTGCAGCCCAACTTTCAGCCACTAAATGATGTAAAGAAACGACCTCAGCCTTTGAATAAAAATTTATCGGGTGCCACTTGAATCAATGGCTAAGATCGTTTCTTTTTATCATCTAAGGGTTGAGATGGCTCCATGATACCATCTCAAAAAGTGGGATGTACAATAACTTCTTCCGCATAAGAAGTATCTGAGTGAAACAAAAAAAAAAAAAAAGACACAATAGAAGAAAACCCATGAACACTAGGTTGAGTTTCACCAAGCTTTTGGAATAATATATTGCAGTATTTCTTCAAAGATAGCAATCTCAGTTATTAATCAAAAATGAAGAGTAATAGCTTAAGGCTTGGGATATGTATATTTTAGCTGTCATTGAAGATCGAATTTGCTAAAAGGGTTCAAGTGAAGTAAATGGTCTGAGAAACTAGCCTCTTGCTCTAATTTTCAATAGGGAAATTACAATATATAAACCTAAAGACATGCAGCTCATATAAGGATTTTGAAGCATCAGAACTGTTTGCATTTGCCTATATGCGCCCGCGCGCGCGTGTGTATATTAATGGTAATAATGTTGTCTATGAATTAGCATTGGCTTTTCAACAACCTAACTCTAGGAGCCACATAAATTATTAATGTTGGTTTCTTGTAGACAGACATATAATATAAAGATTGCTTAAAGTTCTTAGAAAAATACTTATATGAAATACATGATGTAACATATGAAAGTCGTGTACGTTGTCCCATCTATTCTGTAGCTTCCATATGTCCCAATTCAACTACTCTTTCGCCCGTGGAAAGACATCATAAATTACAAATCCCCCGAAGATGATTAACCCTACCAAAAAAAAAAAAAAAAAAAAAAAAAAAAAAAAAAAACTAAGCCAAAATGACAAAACTGCCAACACAACCGCTAAATAGACAGCACAACTAATAAGAAACAATATTTAAATATGGATTAGCCAATTGCACCCATTTCCAGACGTTTCTTTGCTTAATTTGGTCACTAAAGTTTCATCACATTTGATTGCTTACGTGAAAGATTCTTTAACGTTATGGAGCCATATAAAAAAGTTCACTCTAATATAACTCAAGATATAAAATATAAGAGAGAAGCAAAATATTCTCTAAAGCAGACCTCAAATCACAAGGGAACTCGAGAAAGGAAAAAGAAAAAGAGTGAGGAGAAAAACGTGTTATGCTAGTATATCATATATATGTGTGTGTGTGTGTGTGTGTGTATGTATGTATATTTTTATAAGTGTGCATAAATAATTTTTATATGTACATGGCGGAGAATCCCTCATATGGCGTGAACTCTGCATCATAAGAAGCCTTCACACTTTTGTCGGCAAAGAAGGTGAATGTGAGTCCACTAGTATAGACCATAGAACATGAACATCTTCATATGGGCAGGATTTGACATCTTCGTATAGAATGTAAATCCCTATTCCTGATCATTCATCAAAAACATGATGAAAATAATAATAATAATAATGTTACAATAAACAAGATAAGGAATGTGAATAAAAAACAATGCAAATTATTGATTAAGAATAAGGTTCTATATATACATAAAGATGGTTTAATGAATGAACAACTTTGAAGTTGATACCAAAAATGCACGTATGAGAATTCATTTGGAAGTGCTTGAGAAATATTTCCAAAACTAACCTTGAATACAAAACAAGCATAACATATAAAAAATGCAGTTTTTTGAGGGGATATTTACGTACTTTTCTTTTGAGTGGAGTTGAGACGAAACCAAAGCTTCTTCAATGGAGAGAAGAGGGATTGAAGCCACCCCATTTGAAGATGTGGGTGTGGCTGCTCTCATGTAGGTGAAAAAAGCCACTATGTGTGAAGGAAATTAATAATGAGAAGAAAACAGAAGAGAAATAAGGTATAATATGATGAGCTAGGGAGATTTGGTTGCTGCTGGTTTTGCTTAGACACAGGGTGAAGTTATAGGGTCACTGTTTTTGTAGGACATTTTATTACACACACACACACACACAATATATATATATATATATATATATATATATTTATATATTTTACATTTGTTTTCCCCTTGGTGGCCAATCATGAGTATCACATTTTGCTCTTTGGTGCAATGTCATTATCTTACAACAGAAGGGGTACATCTCACCAATCAGCTGTGCTTCTCACACTTTAACAAAAGTCCTTTATCTTCATATTATCCTTCATTTGTTTACTCACATTCCTTGTTTCTCAAGCCACATTCTGGGGTTTTTACTATATTTGTTTACTATATTTGTTTACTATATATGCAAATATTGGAGGTAGCTAGTCATAATAGAGTTTGTGGGGGGTATTATTTTTTATTTTATTATTTTTGTTTTTTGTGTCTGTTTCTTTTTCTTTCTTTTTTGCCATTTTGGGACACCTCTTGTGTTTCAAGGAAACATGAGATTTCTTATAGGAGTCTCCTACAAGGATCTTCCCACATCGGCCACCTGTCCCATAATACTCCAATTTTGGTTGCCTTAGAAGTGTCTTTCAGGCACAGGTTGTTCTTTCTAGAGCTAGACTTGACTTGAGATCATGGATCTAGGGTTTCATGACACATTTCTTGTAAGGAAATTTTAAAAATGTTATCAATAAAAGTAACACTACTTTATTTCTGCTACTATTGTTAAATTTATCTTATATCATTAATAATCTCTAAGTTATTTTTTCATAAATCTGCATATTATCTTTTGTAATCTGCAGGTTATCTTTCGTAACTTGCAGGTTATTACTTCGTAACCTGTAAGTTATTTTTCATAGTGACATTAAAATTTTGTGTAGTGGGAGAACTCACAGAGTTGAAAAAATTAATGGTTAAACTTGAAGTTTTCTCTTTTTTATTTGATTATTTACATAAATTTTTTAGGAGATTTCTATTGTAAGACTTGGAAAAAATGAACTGCCAGTTATTTTTTCAAAAACCTGTAGGTAATCTTTTGTAATCTGCAGGTTATCCTTCGTAACCTGCAGGTTATCACTTCGTATCTTGTAGGTTATTTTCCGTTGTGACATCAAAATTTTATGTAGTGGTATTACTCACAGAGTTGAAAAAGTAATGGTTAAACTTGAAATTCTCTTTTTTATTTGATTATTCACATAAATTTTTTATGAGATTTCTATTATAAGACTTCAAAAAAAAAAATGAACAGCCAGTTATTTTTTCATAAACCTGTTGGTTATCTTTTGTAATCTACAGGTTATCTTTCGTAACCTGTAGGTTATCACTTCATATCCTGTAGGTTATTTTCCGTAGTGACATTAAAATTTTGTATAGTTGTTAACTCACAGAGTTAAAAAAAGTAATGGTTAAACTTAAAATTTTCTCTTTTTTATTTGATTATTTACAAAAAAAAATTTAGGAGATTTCTATTGTAAGACTTGGAAAAAATGAATTGTCAGTTATTTTTCATAACCCTGCAGGTTATCTTTCATAACATGCAGGTTATCTTTCATAACATGCAGGTTATCACTTCGTATCTTGCAGATTATTTTCCGTAGTGACATCAAAATTTTGTATAGTGGTATAACTCACAGAGTTGAAAAAGTAATGGTTAAACTTGAAATTTTCTCTTTTTTATTTGATTATTTACATAAATGTTTTAGGAGATTTCTATTGTAAGACTTGGAAAAAATGAACTGCAAGTTATTTTTTCATAAACCTGCATGTTATCTTTTGTAATCTACAGGTTATCTTTCGTAACCTGCAGGTTATCACTTTGTATCCTGCAGGTTATTTTCCGTAGTGACATCAAAATTTTGTGTTGTGGTATAACTCACAAAGCTGAAAAAAGTAATGGTTAAACTTGAAATTTTCTCTATTTTATTTGATTACTTACATAATTTTTTTAGGAGATTTATATTGTAAGACTTGAAAAAAATGAACTCCCAGTTATTTTTTCATAAACTTGCAAGTTATCTTTTGTAATATGCAAGTTATCTTTCGTAACCCGCAGGTTATTACTTCGTATCCTGCAGGTTATTTTCCATATTGACATCAAAATTTTGTGTAATGGTATAACTCACAGAGTTGGAAAAAGTAATGGTTAAACTTGAAATTTTCTCTTTTTTATTTGATTATTTACATAATTTTTTTAGGAGATTTCTATTGTAAGACTTGAAAAAAATGAACTGTCAGTTATTTTTTCATAAACCTGAAGGTTGTCTTTTGCAATCTGCAGGTTATCTTTCGTAAACTGTAGGTTATCTTTCGTAACCTGCAGGTTATCACGTCGTATCCTACAGGTTACTTTTCGAAGTGACATTAAAATTTTATGGAGTGGTATAACTCACAGAGTTAGAAAAAGTAATGGTTAAACTTGAAATTTTCTCTTTCTTATTTGATTATTTACATAAATTTTTTAGGAGATTTCTATTGTAAGACTTGAAAAAGTTGAAGTGCCGGTTATTTTTTCATAAATTTGCAGTTTATCTTTTGTAATATGCAGGTTATCTTTCGTAACTTGTAGGTTATCATTTCGTGTCCTGCAGATTATTTTTCGTAGTGACATCAAAATTTTGTGTAATGGTATAGCTCATAGAGTTGGAAAAAGTAATAGTTAAACTTGAAATTTTCTCTATTTTATTTGATTGTTTACATAAATTTTTTAAGAGATTTCTATTGTAAGACTTGAAAAAAATGAACTGCGAGTTATTTTTTCATAAACCTGCAGGTTATCTTATGTAACCTGTAGGTTATCACTTCATATTCTGCAAGTTATTTTCTGAAGTGATATCAAAATTTTATGTAGTAGTATAACTCACAGAGTTGAAAAAAGTAAGGGTTAAGCTTGGAATTTTCTCTTTTTCATTTGATTATTTACATAAATTTTTTAAGAGAATTCTATTGTTAGACTTGGAAAAAAATGAACTGCGAGTTATTTTACGTAGTTACATCAAAATTTTGTGCAGTGGTATAACTCACAGA